TCCCCCCAGGTCCACTCCACTGTACAGCCTTCGCTCTGGACTCCTGTCATGACAAAAATACCTAATAGCATATCCCTCTTAAACAGTTTTCTCCCTCATCTGTTTCAATGAATGTTATTCTTAGAACTTCAACTAAAGATAATTAACTGATTCACTATGATCAGTCTTGAGAGACTTTATATTGTTGTTGTTGTTATTGTTATGTGCCATTGAGTTGCCTGCGACCCGTATTGACTCTGTGTACAGCAGCTCTGAACCCTGCCCTGTCCTGAGACAATCTCAGTAATTCCAAAACACCAACCCCCACTTCCCCAGTTGCTGTATCATTCCATCTCATCTGGATTGTTCCTCTTCTGTGCTGTCCCTTCTCCCTTTCAAGCATGATATCCTTCTCTAAGGACCGGTCTCTCCTGGCCATGTGCCCAAAGTATGTGAGACGGAGCTTCAAAATCCTAGCCTCCAAGGAGAAATTTGGTTTCACCCTTTCCAAGACAGACCTATTTGTTTTCTTGGCAGTCCATGTTATGTTCAACTCTTCTCCAGCACCAAAATGAGAAGGCATTGATTGTTCTTCTATCATCCTGAGTCATTGTCCAACTCTCTGAAGCATGACAAGTAGTTGTGAAGACCGTGGCCTGGATTAGGCACACCTTAGTCTCTAGTCTGAAACTGTTGCTTCTCAGTACTCTGGAGAGGTCTCTGACAGCATATTTTGATATCCTGACTGCTGGTGTTAAGAGTATTGATTATGGAGCTGAGGACACTCTAGGGAGTCATATAACTTGTTCTGCTCACCAGGTTTTTCTTGGGTTTTTTGCTTCCTTGAGTCTTAGTGTCGCCAGCCATGCCGTCCATTCTAATAGTTATTTTCCCCCTTTCTTTTTTTTCCCTACCATGCAGGTGGGTATCTAGGCTGTGGCCATGGGCATAAAGGCCATCCAGGCCGTCCCCACTGGTCATGCTGTGGGAAGTTTACCGAGAAGTCTGATTGTTCATGGACAGGTGGGCAAAGCACATCAAGGAGTCTCCTCAGGACAGTGGCTCTCTGACCATTTTCCAAATACAAGATCAGGCTGTTACAGCTGCAGCTAGCATGATGTCATTGTTATTCCTTGAGGAACCCAGACTTTCATTCAATTTAAAGGTACTGATAGAATAAAAAGCAAAGTGCCTTTTCTTACAGCTCACGTGTGTATTTTGTGTGCGTCTCTAATAGTATGTGTTAATGGTTGAGCATGGGAGATCACCACTATATTTCTCTTAAAGGTGGGAGGAGGCAGCAGCTGCTCTTTATTTTGTGCACGTCCGTGGCTATCTGTACTGTAGGAACTTAGAAATCATGGTATTTTAGTTCCTTACTTTCTGATAATTATGACCCTTTATTTTTCTTCCACGAGCCACATGTTAAGGAGCCTTAATGGTACAGTGAGTTAAGAGCCAGGCTAACTGAAGGTCAGTGGTTCAAACCTACCAGCTGCTCCTCAGAAGAAAGATGAGGCTGTGTGTTCCCATAAAGATTTACAGTTTTGGAAACTAGCATATTCTAACCTAGAATATTGGATCTCTGTGAGTTTAAATTGCTTCAATGACAAGGAGTTTGGTTTCTGAGCCAGGTATTGAATATTTCCCTCAGAGAATGAAATCTTGCTTTTATGCTAGTCACTTTTTCTGGCATATTCTCACTGGACTGGCCCATATGTCTTTGACCATTAGAATACAATCTTGCTGTTTACTAGTGTTCTCACTTTTCCTATGAGATATTCCATCTCCACTCCCTGAACCTTAAAGGACACTATTGTTGTTATGTGCCATCGAGTTGCCTGCAACCCATAGTGACCCTATGCATAGCAGCACTGAACCCTGCCCTGTCCTGAGCCAGTTTTACTAATTCTGATGCACCAACCCCCACTGCCCCAGTCGCTGTATCATTCTGTCTCATCTGGGGTCTTCCTCTCCTGCACTATCCCTCCACCCTTCCAAACATGATGTCCTTCCCTAAGGACCAATCTCTCCTGGCCATATGCCCAAAATATGTGAGACGGAGCTTCAAAATCCTTGTCTCCAAGGAGAAACTTGGTTTCACCCTTTCCAAGACAGACCTATTTGTTTTCATGGCAGTCTGTGGTATGTTCAAGACTCTTCTCCAGCACCAAAATGAGAAGGCATTGGTTCTTCTCCTGTCATCCTTAGTCATTGTCCAACAATTACAAAATGGGCAAAAGACATGGAAAGACTTCACAGAGGAAGATATTCAAATGGCCAGCACACACATAAAGAAATGCTCAAAATCACTGCAATAAGAGAGATGCAAATCAAAACTACAATGAGATACCATGTCACTCCAGTAGCAGTGGCAAAGTTTAACAGGATAGCAAGTAATTAATGTTGGAGAGGATGTGTAGAGATAGGAAATCTTATACATTATTGGTGGGATTATAAAATGGTACAACCACTCTAGAAGGCAGTTTGATGTTTCCTCAAAGAGTTGAGCATAGAAATTTTGTATGACCCAGATATTCCACTGCTTGGCATATACCCCAAGAGAATGAGAACTGAAGCAAAAATGGGGGCTTGTACACTGATGTTCATAGCAGCGTTCCATCACAAGAACAGAAACAGCCCATATGTCCAACCACAATCAAATGCATTGTGAAATTATGGTACATTGATACAATGGAGTACTGTGTAGCACCCAGGAGCAATGGATTTGTAAATTACTACCTAAGTTGGGAGAGACTGGAAAGCATTATGCTATGTGAACTAACTCAGTCCCGTAAGGAGAAATACTGTTTAAGACCATTATTGTAGAATGTATATGAGGATCTAAGGAGGGGAGGATGGGAGGAGAAGGGTGAGGATAGGCAGGGAGTGGTAATCATAGGGTTGCACAATTTGATGGGTGAAGGGAAGGGTGGGTAAAAGAAATGGGAAAGATCCAGTGTGAAAAACACCAAGATGGAGACTCACCCTCAGGCAAGACCAAACTGAGTTTTAAATACAAAGGCCCACCCACCACATCCTGACTGCTTAATCAATCGAGGCTACTCCTTGGAGAAGGACATGATGCTGGAAAAGGTGGAGGGTCAGAGAAGGAGGGGAAAATCCTCAGCCAGGTGACTGATTCAGTGACTGCTGATTCAGTGTGTCAGTAATGCGAAGATGGCATAGGATAGATTAGGGTTCAGATCTTTTCTTAATAGGATCACTATGAATCATACTTGACTCAACAGCACCAAACAACAACACATATCACTGGGGGGGGGGAATTCTCAGCCTTCTCTCAAACCTGTTGAATAAATTATATGCACTTCAGGGATCAGTCTTGCATTTTCCTATTACCTCATCCAACTAGGGAATTGCTTGCCATGAAGAAGCCTGTTGCATTACATCATTCACCTCCCCCCCGAACTCCCCCACCCCCACACACTGTGGATTTAAGTGAATTCTACTTCAAATCAGAGAATAAAAAGCTTATCTTCTCTATTGAAAAGAGTGTTAATAATTAGGCATCTATATTATGTCTAATTAATCTATAGGCAACAAAGAATATGTAAGATACCTAGATAACGTCTAATGCCCTTGTCCTTTAAGCATTTCTAATTAATGAGAAAAATCAACTATTATTGTTATTAATGGTAAGAATTTTGTCACAAGTACTAAGTATTTGGCTAGGGGGCTATGGTGGGTTTAGTTGCTCTTTTAACTAGGCTACAGTGAAGCATAAACCCAATTTAACTTAGTTGCCCTTCAGGCTGGAAGAACAGTAAGGTAAGGGTGAGCTGCAGAGGCCAAAACTCAAATGTTGAAGAAAAAAAAGTTTGAGGACTTGTGAATTTTCCCTGGTGTAACAAAGTGTTTCAGAAATTATCTTAGAATTGTGAACACTGAAACATCAACAAGATGTAGAATTATGATGTAAGTTATACCTCCGGTGTTAGAGGTAATAAGAAAGTTACAAATTAGAGCTTCAGTCCTTTGGGATGTAGAAACAGGATAAACACCTTGGCTGTCTTAGCTAATAAACATACACGTATACCTGCCAGCCTATCCATTCTCTAATCTCTAAAATACACTAGTTGTTGAGTCTTATTCCAGAGGTATATTTAGGTTTGTTTTTATTAAAAGTTGTTTAGTTAACTCAGAATAAAGGAAGAGACATTTGATTCCTGGAAGCCCTATGTGGTGCAAACAGTTAAATGTTTGATTCCAACCAGAGGTTCCTCAGAAGACAGGGCTCCCAAACTACTTCTAAAAAGCTCAGCCACTGAATCTACTCTCTGGCAACTGCTTTAACTTCTACACTGATAATAATCCTTTAAAAGACAAAGAAGTTGTCCTGAGTAGGTCAAATCTAAATATAAGCCTCCTCATCTTCATATATCATTGCAGCACTCATTATCATTTCCCCTTCATATCCTTTGTGATTCATGCCAATAGCCTCTTAAGAGACAGTAAGTCGCAGGCATACAAGGACCAGTTTGTGTTTTGTTTGCTATTAATAGTTAAGTATGTAGCAATGTCTGGCACAAAGTACAGGTGCTCATTATATACCTTGAACTAATGTACAAATAATTAAGCAAGGGAAGTATTTTCTCTTTCCTATCCTGCATATATATCTACTTAGGCTCAGATTTAGCTAAGGAATCTGAGTAAGAAGAAATTAATAAAAATATTATATACCATATATCTGTGTCCTATTCACTTTTAGGGTTTAGATGGGTTTGGGGTTTGTTGTTTTTTTTTTTGGTGGTTTTTTTTTTATTCCCATTTCCTAAATATTAACTCCTATTGTAATTTGTATTACAATTAAGCTAGATTTCCATTTTATTACTGAAATTTTTTAATCAAGGTTATATACTGCCCAAACTAAATTCCTGCTTACTGCCTCTGAGTCAGTCAGAGACCCTGTAGGACAGTTTTCCAAAACTTTAAATCTCTGTGAAGCTAACTCCCACCTCTTTCTCCTGAGCAGGAGCTGGTGGTTTTGAATCACCAACCTCTTGCTTACTCTCAAGTGTTTAAACCATTGTACCAATACCTAGGTAATCTACATTGTTATTAGGTACCATCAAGTAGAGTATGGCTCAGAGTGGCCCTAAGAATAACAGCTCTGAACCCTGCTTTATCCTGTGCATCCTAGTCACTGTGTTAGTCCATCTCATTGAGGATCTTCCTCTCCTTCACTGATGTTCCCACTTTTTCAAGTATGATATCTTTTTTCCAAAGACTGATTCCTACTACCAACATGGCCTATATAGGTGAGGCAAAGTTTTACCATTCTTCCCTCTAAGGTTCATCCACACTGTACTCTCTGAAAGACATTTCTTTTGGCAGTCTATGGGTTATTGAGTGCTCTTCTCCAGCATCACAACTCAGAGGCATCAATTCTTCTTCCATTACCTTTATGCACTGTTCAACTCTCAGATGCATAGCAAGTAACTGGAAGAGATCATAGCTTGAATCATGTGCACCTTAGTCTTTAACCTGGCATCCTTGCTTCGCAGCACTTTGGAGAGGTCTCTGACTGCAAGCTTTTTCAATTTGATACATCTTTTGATTTCTTGACTGTTGTTACCAAGGTTGTTGATAGTGAATCAAGAAAGGTGGAATTATTGATAATTTGTCTATTTTCCTCTATATCCCTATTTTATTATCTATGTGCACTTTAGTCTGCTTGGCTCCACAGTCAACACTCTTGGCACCAACAGCCAGGAAATTAAAAGACATATTGTGATGGGAAGTCTGCTGTTAGGGACCTCTCCAAACTACTGAAGAGCAATGGTGTCTCTCTGGAGACTAAGGTGCATCTGATA